GTAGGCGTGAATGGAAAGCTCGTTCAGCCTCGGCGGATTGCGATTGCGATGAATGATTCCAGCATCTCTTGCACTGCCTTTTTTCACCCAAAAGCGTCCGGATTTCAGAAATTGTAGAGGCTCACCTGTATGACGTGCTTGTGAACGTAGTAACTCATCAAATGAGCTTCATGCATCATGGACTCCCTGGCTTTTTTCGATTCCTCGGTCATCGTATCAATCGACGCTCCATGACAAATCTGCAATGCTTCATTGTGTAAGGGAGCGGAACGTACAGTAAATACTGTGTTCCTACCTTGATTGCCACTTGGATTATATCGTTTTCTTCTCGTTCATACATTCCTTTATACACTTTACAGAAGTTACCTGTGCCAATCAGGTCCTTAAAAACGGTGAGTTTAGTGGAACAAACTTTAAAGGTCGAAAAAGGGATGCAAAAGTTTTTTTTTGAGATCATTTCTGTTCCCCGTTCGGTATCATTGAGATGCTACCTACCTCTCGAAAGACCAAAATACCCTGCAAGCGACGGGGTCCGACAAGAGCATGGCTTGGAGATCAGCAGCAAGCTTTCCATCAGTTTTAGCGGGCTCGGGATGGCATTAGGGGTGGAAAAAGCGGGCGTTGGCCTCGCTCCAGAATGCGCCGCATCACACACCCTATCGCTTTGCAGGTCGATCCGACTGTACTGAAGGCTGTCAATTGGGGGATCGTGCAGTCCAAACGAGCCGGTACGTTCCATATCGCGGGAAGGGGGTGGGGAGCGTTCATTTGAATAATGCGCTGTTTTCTGGTTTTCCGACTAAAACAATAGTCGTCCTTTTTGGGGGCGCTGACGAGCGCACTAATTGCCGTGTTGCCGATATTATTTGCAAAATCAGCATCTTGCTTAAGGTCCAAATGTTAGGGCAGCAGCCACATCCTCATGCCATCTCCTACTATCACTACTATATATAAACGGCAACGTCTGTTTGTTTGTTGTTTGTCTGTCTGTCCGGAAATTCGGAATCACCTGAAGAACCAGTTGGAGGGGCCGGGTCAAGGGTGGGTTGGGTAGGGCATGGGTCTAGATGTACGGAACACACATGAACTGAGCTAAGCTCCGCCCACTGTGGGCGGGGCATGCGCACAGTTGTGAGTTACATAGTTCAAAAATTCGTAGTTCGGTTCTAGAAGATCCCGGAGAGCGGAAATTGTGGGAAACGATAAGCAGTCAGTTGGCGGATGAAATGAGGGAGTCACACACGTGATGGACTGGGCGTGCTATAGGTGGGCGGTGCTCGCTACAAAACTTTCAAAAATTCGTAGTTCGGTTCTAGAAGATCCCGGAGAGCGGAAATTGTGGGAAACGATAAGCAGTCAGTTGGCGGATGAAATGAGGGAGTCACATCCATGATGGGCGAGGCGTGCTATAGGTGGGCGTGCTCGCTACAAAACTTTTAAAAATTCGTAGTTCGGTTCGCATGAAGATCGGCGAAGAGCGCATTGGGGAAACGATAGGCAAACAGTTGGCGGACGCAATGAATGAAGCACACCTGCGATGGGCAGGGCGTTCGCCGAAGTAAACGGTGCCCGGGATAAAAACCCTCAAAATATATCCGAAAAACTCCAGGAAATGGGAAGTAAGTGAAACTGAGCAATGGTTGCGCAGATGAAGTTAGTTAGGGATAACCGTAGCGAGTATACCAAATGGTTGGTGCCGTTTATTCTTTTATTCTGGGCTTCTTCATCAGTAACGGGATTGCGGATTGCGGTATAGAAAATTTTGTTCACTGTCTGCTAGGGGGGGTATATACTAGCAGTGAAACGGCAAAGTGCGGTAATTCTCAAAACAATTTTTTTCGACCATTCGACCGGCGAAGCACCGGGACCCACTTCACACCCGGAAGGAGGATCGGCCGGCGAAGCCGGCCGATCCGACTGGCCCTCCCTCTCATGGAAAACTTCTCACCGGGACCCACTTCACACCCGGAAGGAGAATCGCGCCGGCGAAGGCCGCCGATCCGACTGGCCCTCCCTCTCATGGAAAACTTCTCACCGGGACCCACTTCACACCCGGAAGGAGGATCGGCCGGCGAAGCCGGCCGATCCGACTGGCCCTCCCTCTCATGGAAATTCTCACACGGGCGCTCCTTCACACGCCCGAAGGAGGATGCGGCCGGCGAAGCGCCGATCGACTTGGCCCTCCCTCTCATGGAAAACTTCTCACCGGGACCCACTTCACACCGGAAGGAGGATCGGCCGGCGAAGCCGGCCGATCCGACTGGCCCTCCCTCTCATGGAAAACTTCTCACCGGGACCCACTTCACACCCGGAAGGAGGATCGGCCGGCGAAGCCGGCCGATCCGACTGGCCCTCCCTCTCATGGAAAACTTCTCACCGGGACCCACTTCACACACCGGAAGGAGGATCGGCCGGCGAAGCCGGCCGATCCGACTGGCCCTCCCTCTCATGGAAAACTCTCATGGGACCACTTCACAACCGGAAAAGGAGGATCGGCGGCGAAGCGGCGATCGACTGGCCTCCCTCTCATGGAAAACTTCTTTCACTGGGACCACTCACACCGCGGAAGGAGGATCGGCCGGCGAGCCGGCGATCCGGCTACTGCCTCTCCGCTCTCATGAAAATTCTCAGGCGGTCCCACTTCACACCGCGAAGGAGGATCGGCCGGCGAAAGCCGGCCGATCGACTGGCCTCCTCTCATAGGAAAAACTGTCTCACTGGACCCACTTACACCCGGAGGAGATCGCGCGCGAAGCCGGCCGATGCGCGATCTGGCCCTCCTGCTCATGAAAACTTCTGCTTCTCAGGGACCCACTTCACACGCGGAAGGAGGATCGGCCGGCGAAGCCGGCCGATCCGACTGGCCCTCCCTCTCATGGAAAACTTCTCACAGGGACCCACTTCACACCCGGAAGGAGGATCGGCCGGCGAAGCGCCGATCGGCGACTGTGTGGAGTATAAGAGACGAAAGAGCTAGTAGCTGCCACAGGTTACTGGTGTCCCTGGCAGGGTGTATCCTGCTCGAGAAGCAGGACTGTTACTTCTTGGAATAGCTGTGACATCATACGGCATATATGACGTCTGATTTCGGATTCCCAACGAGCATCAGGATACAGTCGTTATCGGCGCGTCATTAGGCATTCTTGTGTTCGTACGTTTTGCGCGGCGCCAGCTCGTTTCTATCAGACATTGTCATATAGGACGAGCAACCACTGATGATGGGTATTCTGGCGCCGCGCCATAAGTAAGGGACGCGTTCACTTGGTGCCCCGACAAGCACAGTATTTCCTCTATCAACTGAAGGGGTAATTGTGATCCTTGTTTCTACCGGCCAATTCTACTGCGAAAAAATGCCCAATCTACGAGCAGGAGAACAAGTTTCTAAGAAATATATACCTTTTGCATGTCGAATGTGCATGCGGCGTGTTTTATGAGCCATTTCGGCCGATGTATCGGTTTTGTCATCTTCAAATGTCCCGGCAGATCGTGTTTCTCAAAAGGGGTCTTTAGACACAACACTTGCAATGTATGGGATATTTGATCGCCTGAAGCGTAAGTGGTGTGAGCTGGGGCAGCGGGTTGGGTAAGGTGCGACGCCAGGGCACATAGTTATTGGGGAATCCGCAGCGGGTGGGGAGGGGGGGTCGCATTTGGCCGCCAGGAGAGGGGGGGGGTGTCGTACTCGCTCATTGTTGGGAGGGGGGGGGTCGTATTTAGTTTTTGGCCTTCTAGGAGTGGTGGTTTTCGTGATTCTCGACGGCTCCACTCGATGAGGAGGGACAGAGGGCCGGAGGGGCCGAAGAGGGGGGGGGGTTCGTACCAAGGCCCAAAAAAAGGGGGAGGAGGGTCGTACGGAGTCGACCAAAATATCCAACCAGTGATGTGGCCTGTATGACGCTCCGCCTATATAGCTATTTTTCATGTACACAGATGCTGAATATCGATTAAAGATGGCTACTGGTAGATCAGTCCCCGGCTGACCCGTCAATCGATGTCCCATCTGGTAAACTCGGGAAAAATCGATGGGCTTCCCACGAGCACTGGCCACCTAATGGTCTTATTAATTTGAATGGCATATCCAGAGCAAACTGCCTCGTGGATGATGCGGGTCGGGTGACCCGATTTGCGGCATCGAGAGGAGTTAGCTCTGCCTGCGCGGCTTTTCCTATCCACTTGAGGTAGCTTGCTATCATTTATTGTTAAAGGCGAGAGACGGGCAAGAGAATTGTAATTTTACGCTCTGCGGCGCACGGCGATGGGCGCGGCGTTAACTCGCGTTAACCTGTCGGTTAAGCACCGGACTTCATGTAGACCCCGTCATCGTAGACATTCATGACTATTTTCGGTTCTGAATTGCCTGTTGTCGCCATCTACTACCTGGAACCATCGTCATTTGCGGGCGCGACGTCGCACGCGACGCCCACCGCGCGGTGAATTACGATTCTCTTGTCACATACCCGTTAAAGGCAGTGGGCAGCGTTCTTGTCAGCCTCACTGGTGGAAGGACTGCATGATGCGTCTGGCCACACCCCATTCATCTCTTTCACCAATGACGTTGACGACAACCGCCCGTCCCCCAGCAATCGCGCCAACTGCCTTTAAGCATCAGAGAGGTTCTAGGCTGAATCTCATGCAAAACGTCGTTTGCAGCGCCACCGCAGTCTCCTGGTCTGCGCTGTCATCCACCCCCCCCCCCCCCCCTCCCCC